GCATTTTTGCCACATTGTCGCCCGAGTGGTCCAGAGGTATTTTCTCATATTACGCCACCTTAATTTCCCCACTAACAACTTAATCAGGTACGATTCATCGTTCGGGTGTCCCAAACCTTGACTCGATGAGACCCGCGTTCGAGTCGCGGCTCGGGCCATATTTCTTTTTTTTTTTTCTCTTTTCAGTTTGCCTCTCCGTCTCTTTTTTCGAGCGATATCTTGTCATCCCCATGTAATAATCCCTTTTTATCAATCGTCTTTGCCTAAACCAAGTTTTCCTGCATAGTTGAATATGATCGTGGTAAATTTGAACGACTAGGGGCCCTACTACCTAGATCTGTATGGTTGACTAATGGCCCTCAACTAACTAACTAGTTAGTTAGTTAGCCTCCTAAGTCAACTACTCCGTAGTTAACTAACTAACCCAATGGATAAAATTACGCTGTATTGTGGCTCGAGTCACGACCAGCAAATTACGCGGCTGAAGCATGAATGCAGACAACCTCAGGGAGAAAGTATGATAAGTACCTACGGAGTACTCTGTAGTACCTGCTTACCCTGGACTCTGAACAGTATCTCCCACTCAGCTACCTCAATGAGAGTCGTAACTTTTGGTTCGCCAACTGGCGGTACACCATCGCGCGACCGCTTGTGCCTTGTGGTCTTAGCAAATGATGGACTGTCTATTGGTGGCAACTCATATCGGCGAGACTGCAGCCCGCAGACTAGTGCAGGTCACATACGGGATCTTTACCACTAAATTCGAAGGCCAGAATGGGTTGCTCTCTCAAATCAATGTCAAGACCAGAATGTCAATCATGTGGACAACATTCCTGATATGTCTCCATAATATCGCTGGCCCTCCTCTTCTTGCTTAGGCCATTGATCAAATGTGTGAGCGGCGATGGTGCGGACTATATTGTATCATCACTTCATCTAGCAGGCTAATTTGTCCATTTTTGACGTGCTATTATTTCCACCCATCGCAAAAGATCCAAGGTTCCTATATTACGCACACGACGAGAATGTTTACTAGTTGCTCATGGTCCTGCTACTCCATAGACTAGATACCTTAGTCCGTACTGACTACTGCAGTCTGCTTTCAAGCTAGCTTAACTAGCCTGACTCAACCGTCAACTTAGCTTGTTGACTTGATAGTTGATTATCACTGGTGGCTAAAACCAAAAGGAAATGGATATTATTTTACAAACTAATGACCGGTCTCTCAGCATTAAATGAAAAAAATTGGCTGCGTGTCCCATTGGCAATATCCTCCCGCGTTCTTTGTCCTAGCCTGACGTCCGTGACTTCCTTTGGAAGGTATTCTCCTTACACTGAACTTCTAGCCGAGAGGTGCGCAAAATATCCGAGCTGTAGTCCTTTTGATTGAAACTCTGTAGCTACCTACAGCCCCACAAGCATTTCAGAGAACCTAATCATTATTGTCGTGTATTGGAGGCTATCTACTAGTTATTTGAGGACAATAAAAATAGTAGGATGGCTACATCAGGTCAGACTTACAGGAAAAGCATGCACCCAACAATGCAATGATGATCCTCCTTGTTGTACTTCATAGACTTGCTCCTTCAGGATACTGGTTACAAATGCTCTAATAATCGGCAAGCAGTATTCAACACGTCACATTGCCTACTGAACATTGTTCTTGTACTGGGCCTCTCCTCAGTTTTCGTCTCCTCTTCACTTTAAGAGTTTCACTTGAAGAGGGGCCATTGAGTTCGAGAGCGATCAAAGAAATATAAGATCAAACGTGAGGCTTTGATTGAACCTCAGCAGTACGTCAATCCAACGCTCTCTGTGTCGAAACGGCAAATAATCACCAATCATACCTAGGAGCAAGACATCGGATGGTGTCTAGGGCGTTCTTTCCACAAATTGGCATCTCGACTCGAATGAGATGCATATCAGGCATGGAAGGTTCTTTGAAGTTCCCTGCCCGGACCGTATATATCATGTGTTCACTAGGTCAACGAGAGGAGTCCCACCATGAGCGGCTCATCCACAAAGGTAGAACATGACATCAGCATTCTGCTGTCTCTGCCAGCAGGTAAGGTATCAGAAAGCTTGCCTATAGGCGCACTGGTGTTGCTCAGGCCCTGCCAACATCGGTCTATGAAGCAGTAGCGGAAATGCAGCTCATGCTTCCCCCCGAAGCACTAATGCGTCTACGAAAAAGGGTGCATACAGGCTCATGTCCCATGAAGACTTCTAGAAGTTCTCGCCCTCGGCAATTACTCCGCATCCAGCCCCTACGGCTCCGACTCTGAAACTCTAACCCCCTACATCATCATGTCGATTTGACATTAGGTTGCTCAGTACTTTCAGGAGAAGTCGAGGAGCTGTTGCTGAGAAGATTCCTCCATGCTTCTGTCCGCGCCCCTTGGGCAACCAATGCAGAAAATGTACGATATGTAGTCGAGGCTGCCTTGTTTGGCAAGCTTCTTGAGCTTTGCAGTCTCATGGCATACATTGACTGGAAGAGTATCCCATTGTGTATCAAAATGTTGAAACATATCGCTCAGGGTAATAAATGGATCATCAGCTATCGTTCTCAGTTATCAGAGTGAGGGAACATATCAGGACCCATCACTAGGCTTCCATAACCAGCCAGCGGGATGAAAGCAGACTTCGAAGTCGACTCCACCAAAGAGCCCTATGGCACCATATAAGTCATAATCTCCTTCCAATCCCTCAACGCCTCCAGCCTCCTCGTCGACTTCTTCATGGAGGTTCCAGCCTCCTTCTATCTGCCCATTTCTAGTAAAGAAGACATCGACTTGAAGTCTCTTACACCCGGTTCGCGAAGCTCCATTTAGATGTTCTGGAAGCCGAAGGACTATCCCCAGACCGACAGTATCGTTCACATTAAAGGTGTCTGTGAATTGCTTCCCTCCCCACGAGTCATTCACGAAGCGACAACCGTCATCAGAAAAAACAGCAAGGCTACCCCTTTCCCAGCCAGGAGACCGCCAAGTGGGATAAGGCTGCGCGACAAATCCAATAGAAAACCCGCTCGAATCTGCAGCCCCAGTCCCAGGCCCGACACGGAGACCAAGCAATTTGACCTCGAAATATATAGTCTTGCTCTTTTCGGTGACATAAGGGGAATCATTAACTGGAAAATAAAGCGGCAGGCTTGTGGTAATTATGCAGTCACCGTTCCCGTTCGTTGTAGAACCCTTCCATCGACCTGGGTATGCGACAGTAAGGCTACCAAGAAACTCATTCGGCTGCACAGGGCGGAGGTCATATCTCTGTACACAGTCGTAGACAGCAGCCGAAGGCTTGGCCGGCGGATGCAAAGGCACCCTGTCGCAGAATTCATGAGCGCGCTCTGCGTCATCACTGGATGCATTGCCAGCATTTGAACAGAAATAGCCTGTCACCGGTGGCGGCGGCAATGTTGCTGTGTCAGGCACCAGTTCCTGCCAGTTGTGGTATGGAGGAGGAGCAGGCTTGGCTCGTCCGCTATCCTTTTGCTCAGGATGCCATGCTGCTTGGGAAGCATGATAGCTTGGAGGTGGTGCCTGGAAGTTGGGGCGATCGCTCATAGTAAACAGACCACCGAGGGAATGTCTTTCGCAAAATAATATCTTTCCCAGTAAGGCCTTTTTGTGCGGGCGCAAAATAATTGATATTCTCTAGTAAGTAAGAGAAGGGTCACACGCTGATGATATACAGTGACTCGGCTGGGTTGGTGAGGCTTCTGTAGCCGTTCGACGTTGCTGAGTGCTGCCAAGCGTGGCTATGCTTGGTACAATCCAGATCGGACTCTGTATACAATGGATTCACTTTTAATGAGGAGAAGTAGCCGACATCGATGAGAGAGGCAAGAGCTGAACCCGGATACTATGAGTACCCTGCCACCATGCCTTCTTGCTTGCTCACATTATGTCGTCAAAGGAAGTTTCTATCTCGGTTTTTATCAGATCAACCTTAGGTAGTTAGGGTGAGCCACGTATCCATGGAACTGCACTGGTAAGGCGCGAGTGGGAACACATCAGTCCATGAATTGATCCTCCTCCATTCTCCACTTCACTACCTTGGTTGGGAATGAACATCAAATTTAGCTCGCTTGTGTGGTAGCTAATGGTAGTATTAATATGAAGCCATAGCTTAAGTCATTGTCGCGAGCAGGTGATCAGCAGAAACACCATTTTTCACTTTCCTCGCTCATCAACGTCCACCCTTATGTGTCGTCGGGGCTCGAATGGCTCTTCAATATCTATGATACTACCGCCTTCGAGAGGGTCGGCTTTATGCATAAACAATAACAAACTCACTCTCCTCTAAGGTACCGAGTACGGAGTACAGAAAGGCTTGAGGACCTGTCTCAAAGGCTGTGGAAGGTAGCTTACTCCGTAGACTCTTTCCCCTCTCTCCAATCAAATCAATGCATCACATGCGGCTGCAGCATCGGGCAAATTTGAGGCTGGTCCAGTCAGGACGGGTAGCAGTTCACACTCAAAACCCATAAGGTCTCATCACTCTCAACCCGGAGGTGTTGACTGGCCTTTCGCCATCTCGAGATATTTCAAACCAGAAGAGTCGTTTTAAACTGGTGCACATCGTCTGCCAGTTCAGGCTCTCACTGATGTTACTCCTTCAATGACGAAATCAAGAAATTCTCGTCGTTTCTCGGGTGCTTCAAGAGTGCTTTCTTTTCTTTTCTTTTCTTTTCTTTTTTTTTAACTGTGTTCATGGGAGAACTCATTGCAATCTGCCAGTCTAAGCTTGAACGGATAACTTGGGGAGACTTCCTTGCCATCAGATTCTGATCTTACGCTTCGCCATACGTGACAGGACCCCGCATTGTTTGTCCTATTGTTGGTTAGAAGAGTATCAGTGACAATGGAACAAAAGCCCCAGAATAAGAGAAGACGCCGCTCTTCAATAACTCAACAACTTCACCGGATCTTCAATGTTGACAGGCAAGAATTTGTGAGTCCATCTGCTTTTTGACTATTTCTTTTTAATCCTGCATGGCCCTGTGGCGTGGGATAGTGTGTATGAATTGGTCGACCTAGATCAGCCAAGGCATTTAAGAGCCTCATTACTGACATCTTGAAGCAAAAGCAGCGAGAGTCCGGGCATGTTCCTTCAAACGCAAGTGCAAGGGCTGCGCCTGATCAGCATTGGCAGCATAGGAAAGAAGGGACCGACACTACATCATATCACAATGACCAGTACAACAATCAGTCTTCTCACCAGCCTACGAAGGGGAGCCCTGATCTGGGCGTTTTGGATTTTGCCCAGGCATGTGGTGCCGCGTCGGGAGAACCGCAACCTCGTTCTAGACGCCAGAAATCTTCGACAGGATTAGAGCAGGCTGTAGAGAAAGTCCAAGACTTTTCTGGAACGCCCGAAAATGCTGTTCGCTCTATTGAAAGATCTACTGCTCAAAATGGGACCAATAGTGTCTCGCAAAAGAAGGACAAACGAGTCACGCGACGCCTGGAAGCAGAGAGGATAGAACTTGAGAAACGACTCTTGAAGCTCGAACAGACACAATTGGCAGGAAACCATAATTCACTGAAAAGGGAGACTCGTCGCCTGACAAAGAAGCAGCCCCTTGGTAGCTCTAGCAGGAGCTCTAGTGTGAGTGCTGACGAATCTCGGCCTTCTTCGAGGCGTCTTTCTGCTTTGTTCTCAATATCCAGACGTACATCAATGTCGCGATCAAGCTCTGTAAATGGCAGGAATGGCGAAGAATCAACAGATAGCGCACCTGTTCCAACGAAAACACCAGCGGACGATGTTTCAACCTTACGGGTCGCTAAACCCTCTTTATCCACAAGTTTGCCGGAGCGATTTAGTGCAGTAATATCCAAAGGGTTAATTGTTGGGAGCAATGCTCTGCTTCAAGACAAGACGCCCCCGGCGCAGTCTTCTCCATCACCACCAGCAGCCACAACTGCAACGAACCAATCAGAGACACTAGAGGTGAACGAAGAATGCTCCTTACAGAAGCCTGAGCCAACATTAGACCATGCGAAGCACCAGATCGACGATTATGGCGAATCGTCAAAGTCACGTAGCTTACACACGTCACCTGATTTGGACCGGATATCGTTCGCAGCGACTCTACATCTTGCAAGAAGGGCTCGAGATAACGATCAGCTCCAGGGCCGGTCTCCAGGCACGGTCCAGTACCCATCGCTTGTCCAGAGGGATGTAACACAGAATGGAAAGCTCTACGACTCGCAAACTCCTGGGACATCAAAGATGGGCGTATTTTCCCAACCGAACCCAAGTGCAGTTGAAAACCCAGACAGCTTACCAACTAAGGCATCAGTCAAGTCTATTCCTAGGAGAACTTTCAAACCATCACCCCTTGCAGGTGACTCGACAAGCCGCGGGAGTTCTCAGTCACTTGTTGGAAACTCTAGCACTTCGCGTTTGCGCAATTCTGGAGGATCCAGCGGCGCGAGACGAACTCCATCCTCCCCATTGGCGACGGTTGCAACGAGCATGTCTCCTGCTGTGGGATCTTTGCAATTCTTACAACCTTCAATCAATAGCCAATCGGAGACAGAAAGGGAAGGTAAGGCACTAGATGCTGCCTCTGAACGTACTCCCAAATCAAACAATTCTGCAAACACACGTGTCTCGAAAGAACAAGAAGCTCTCGATTCCGTTTCTTCGCAACACCCACGGACTCGTCATTTGACACAGAGCTCAGCACCGGTTTCATACTCCCTACAACTGTCTGCGGAGTCACGAATTCAGGCTTCAACTAATGAGAAGAATATTAATCATCCGAGCCTGAAACATAATCGCCAAGAAGAAGCTACAGCTATTCATGGTTCCCGAATAGCGAGTGTCAACCAGGATATACCTCCCCTGCCAGAGCACAAATCAGGTGGAAGCCTTGATGCCCAGCAATTTGCAACGGCAGGCAGCGCATCTTCACGAAGCTCATCTCCAGAGCCTTGTTCGGAAGACTACAATACTGCCGATGAAACTGGATCAATAGGATCTGTACCTCGAGGCAATGATGACTGCTTGGATAGTAAGTCTGCGGCACCATCCGGACCCTGTTCTGTGCAGAATATGGTCGAATCGAACGATTCCACCCATGCGAGCAAATTCTCAGATGTCGCGGTATCCAAGGTGGGCAACCCGCACGGTGACAGGTTGAGCACAAGGGATCAGTCAATCCCGAAGACCTTTGTGATCTGTTGCTCATGTAAATACTGGCATAACATGCCACCTGAGAGTTATTCGAAGGTCGCTAGTCCAGATACTTGTTCAGTCCCTACCAGAAATGGCCCTACTCTTCTTGGTCGCACTTCATCTTTCGCCGGTCGAAAGGCAAGCCGGAAATTAACTCGCAGTGCCCAGATTAAGTCAGGATTATTGAACGAGCGATCTGCCAATGAGAGGGCCACAGTGGGATCGGAAACAAGATCTCGATTTGCTGACACCCCCTTACGGTGCTGTTGGTGCGACCATCACATGAGCAGGCTTTGTTGTGAGGGATGGACTACCACGGTCTACAAGCACGAGAGGCAGTTTTGAGTCATTAGTTGCTTCTACCTGTCTTCTCCATCATTCTTCCCTGCCACCTTCCTTCCCCGTAACCCATTCGAACTAGATGTTGTTTACTTAGTTGGCATCGCGTGCTGACTGACAACCAGTTGAAACTAGACAATACTCGATAGACTATCCTGCACCCTGAAATAGGATTCTCCATCTAGCTGGTAAACTTCTTCATGCCTCAGGATCTCGCTATTTTTCAAGTATGCATAAAAGGGTGCGAATGGCCATGGATCAATGACAAAGCAAGAATCAGAGAATAACATCTCGTCCTGTCTACCACTTCCATGTGACATAGTCTTCATAGAAAGCTCCATTTGCCAATACGAAGCATCCAACATGTCAGCTTGAGGTATGACCTCAGCTCTGAGCCTGTCATCGATGGTCTGGGGAGGTCGTCGAATATCAACGCACACAACTGCAACTCGATAGGTGACTATAAGAGATCGTTCAACGCTTCTCACAGTCCTAAGAATAGAGCGAGCGTTGTTGTATGTCTTCGATGGTCCATTGAATCCCGTTTAAGACCTGGTTCATACCACTTAAGCCTATGGCAGCGGATACAGTACAGAGTTTAGACAACGCGAAAGGGAGCACTATTCGGAGAGAATTGATCTCGTCCTTTAAAGCGTAAAAGCTTCTGCCATACATGAGACATGATTTAGGACTGCGTACAGGAGGCGAATTGCCTTACAGATGAAGCCGAGTGCGTAAACCGGGACACCGGTCAGTCGGGCTTAGCGGCCTTCTACCTATGATTTAACTTGTAGTCCCGTGCCCCCAAAATTCAGAGTTAATGCATCGACTTTAAATGCCCCTTAACCGAAGTTCCAAAAGCCTTCCCCCAAAAAAGAAATAAAGACAACGCCAAAGAGTATATGCGCTCTTTTTTCTGTTGGCTCTCTTCAACGCGCTCTTGATCTCCTCATAGTTGAACCCATGGCGCGCCAAAGAGGTCTGTCGAATGCTTCTTCGTCACCTTCTCTTCCCGATGGAAATCAGGTACCGAGGGAACTTTAGACCCTTAGTGCTCAATGAGGACGTATCAACTAACACTGTTGAAGGAGCTGGAGAGCATGTATGATTATCTGGCCAAAGTGATCCTGCTTGGGCCAAGCGGTGCCGGAAAGTATGTGCCTTGCTGTTGATAACCTCCCAAGTCTCTTTTGCTACTGTTGCTCACATGGTACGGCTCACCGCAGGTCATGTGTATTACATCGATTCGTGAAGGACGAATGTACGGCTCCGATCCCTGACTGAGCCTGATCCTATCCCTCGCTCCCCCTGAGCTGGATAGCCGGCTCGCTAATACACCTTGCGACTGTAGGGAGAGTGTTGTCATCACAAACGATCGGGGTCGAATTCTCCTCGAAAATAGTCAGGCTTGGATCCGGTCCCCGAAAAACAAGGATCAAATTGCAGCTTTGGGACACTGCGGGCACAGAGAGATTTCGTTCCGTCTCAAGATCGTACTATCGGGGAGCTGCAGGCGCTATCCTGATCTACGATATATCTTCGCAAGCGTCATTCGCAGCGCTTCCTACCTTTTTAATGGATGCACGTGCTCTTGCATCTCCCAATCTCACTGTTCTACTGGCTGGGAATAAGGCGGATCTTGCGTCCGAGACCCATGGCGATTTCGCAGATGACGGCATGAGAGCCCCTCCTACTCCTTCCAGCACTAGCAGCAAGCAGTCATCATTCCCAATCGACTCAGTCCCTGGTTCTGTTCGATCTACAAGCCATTTAGGTAGTGGAACAAGGCTCACGGCGACTTATGCCTTTGAAGGTCGTCAAGTGAGCGCCGGAGAGTCAGCACACTGGGCTGCCAAGGCGAATATTCCTGTTGCTGTCGAGGTGTCGGCTCTTACTGGAGAGGGCGTTGAAGAATTGTTCATCCGATTGGCACGAATTATCCTTACCAAGATTGAGCTAGGGGAGATCGATCCCGACGATCCTCAAAGTGGCATTCAATATGGAGACGGCGGACTCTATGGCCAGGGCACCAGCGATGCGTCCAGTATTCGAAGTCGAATGACAGTCGATGATAATTCCGTGCAACTGCATCGCAGGAATCCAAAAAGGCGGGGTGGCAGTAGGGGAGTGAATACCTGGAGAAGTAACATGGGAGAATGGGAAGAGGTCTTTCGCCTCAGCGGCTCGCACCAAAAGAATGGTACGGGATGCTGTTGACCCTTTCGAGCGGTTAAACCTCCGGCACATGTGGATTGTTGGGCGTGTCATGCCCTCCCCTCGCTTGCATCAAGTCACGCATTGCTCTTATCTTACGCCTTCTGCTCTGGATCGGAATTCATTTATCCCATATACAACATAACGGAGGTGTGCATTTGCCTTATCTATTCTGTCTGGTTGCTTATTCCGTACCCACACGCCCTAGATACCTTACATCGCCCTCTTTGCCTCGGAGTTAGGTTCCATTTTCGGCTCGATTGTTTTCATGAACAATGGGACTCGGTAACCTTGGCGTCTCCCTTCTATTTTCTACCTTTTTCTTTACCTTTTTCTTTTGCGCTGTGCGATCCCCTAATCCCTCTCCTTGGTCCTCTGATAGGGGTCTACATGCCATCGTGGCTAATCAGCAAATACCTCATTATGCTTGAAACCACCTATAGCTCTGTCACTTGCCAGCGGCTGAAATTTTGCCAATCCTGCGTCGCGTGTCCAGTGGAACTCATGATTGACTTGAGTTGGGCTCAGATATACACCTATTATCGTTTCATTCCAAATATTAGATATCAGAGCGGCTACCATGTCTTCGTCTCCTAGTCCCAAAATAGGTAGGGCCCGAAATGGTGCATGACCACTGGTTCGAATTACACATTTTCGAAAATCATATGATCATCGGATGGTCGTGTCGTCTCAATCTTGGATCCCAGAAATGAGTGTTTTGATGCCTTTCCCGGCCTTGACTTCCTTAAATGCCTGTTCAGCGTCATAGAACTCGACCACGCCGGTGATAAGATCCTTCACATTGACTTTACCGGACGCGACCAGGTCGACCGCGAGCTTATAGTCACCACTTCCATACCGAAAGCTACCTTTGACAGTCAACTCTTTCGTGCAGGCCGCCATGATTGGAAACATTATTTCGCTCCGGCCCATGCCACCTTGCACGTATGTGCCGCCGGGGCGCAGAACATGAATTCCGGTGTGAACGGACGGTTCAGCCCCTGAGGCGTCGATAACCACATCTGCACCAACCCCTAGGTAGTTCTCTTTTCTCAGTCGCTCCGCGTTGTCGACCGCGCTTACTTTGGCGGGCTCGAAAGTCGACGTTGCCGCATATTTCTTGGCAGAGTCAAGTCTTGCCTTTTGTATGTCCACAGCGATGATTTTAGCGGCACCGAAAGCTTTTGCGACGGCACAGCACAGAAGCCCGACGGGCCCGGCTCCGAAAACGATCACGGACTGACCAGGGGTGACGCTTGCTTGTCTCACGATATGAACAGCGACGCCTAGAGGCTCCATGAGAGCCCCCTCCTGTAAGGAGATGCTGTCGGGAAGTTTGTAGCAGAAGTCTTCGGGAAGTACATAGAACTTGGCTAAGGTGCCATCGTATGGTGGAGTCGCTGCGAAGGCCATTTTCTCACAGAGGTTGTATTTCCCAGCCTTGCAAGGTTCGCATCTACGGCATGGAACGCCTGGCTCCATGGCAACACGGTCTCCCACTTTCAAGCCTGTGACAGCTGAGCCGACCTTGCTGATGACTCCGGAGGACTCATGCCCTAAGACCATAGGATCCTTCACAACAAACTGGCCGATTGAACCATGTTCCCAATAGTGGACCTGAATGCAACCGATCCGAAACAGTCAGCCTGATCAACGATCCCGGGGGACAGGTGGATATAGAGTGTTAGGCTGAATGCGCCGATACGTACATCACTGCCGCAGATACCAGTGAATTTGACGTTCACCAGTACCTCGTGAGGGTCTTTTAGTTCTGGAATAGGTCGATCTTCAAATTTGACCTGGTGAATACCTTCGAGGACAAAGGACAGATTCTATTTTGATAAAATGTCAACCTTATTGCTACTTCTTTCCCCCTCTCCGTGCTCCTATTGGACTTTTCAAAGTTGGTGATGACACCAGGGAAACGGACACACCTGGGCAGTGGCTGTTGATGTACTCATTTTGTATCGCTTCCGTCTGTGCTCAATATTCGCGGTGTATTCTTCCACTTATCATTCCTTTATTGATATAGGAGAACTCAGCCGGCTGTTTTCTGAGAAGGTCGGCGGTCTGAAGAAGGTACACGGAGGTAAACTGAAGGGGAAAGACGGAGGAAGAGAAGGAGGGTTGCTTGCTACTGTTATACTCGACAGGATAAAAGAGAGGGGCGTGTGTGGAGAAAGAAAGCTTACCCGAATTATCCAGACCAGAACTAATGAATTGGAGCAGCGAGCTTTTCAGAGGGACATCTATCTAGATAGTGGATAATAAAAGGACTTGGAATATCTCCGCTCCCCGCCAAGTTGTCTGGTCAGACTGGTGGGGTGTCTTGACCTCATTTGGGTCGGGCGAGACCCTTTCTTACTTTGTAGGTGTTGGAAATTACCCGTGTGGTACCTCCTAT